TGTGGCGTTATAGCTATTACAAAAATTTGGCTGAGCAAAGGACAGGACTGGCAGCTCGATGTTCCAGGTTTTAGATGCTATGAGAACGATGGAAAGGGAGGCAAGACCGGACGGGGAGTAGTGTTTTTGATTAAGGAAAACATTAATACTGTAATTACATAGATCATAAAATTGTACAGCACAGGAATGGGCCCTTTGGCCCATGACATTGTGCAGAACTTGATGCCAAATGAAACTAATCCATTCTGCCTGCCCTTGGTCTGTATCCCTCCATTCCTTGCATGTTCATGTGCTTATCTGAAAGTCCCTTAAATGCCCTTATTGTATCTGATTCCACCATCATCAGTGTGTTCCAGACTCCTACCACTCTCTGTGTGTAAAAAATCCTGCTCCTCATGTCTCCTTTGAACTTTCCCTCTCTCACCTTAAATGCATGCCCCCTAGTATTAGATGTCTCAGCTCTGGGAAAAGGATTCTGACCATCAACCCTATCTATGCATCTTATAATTTTATAAACTCCTATCAAGTCTTGCTTCAGCCTCTGCCACTCGAGAAAACAACCTGAGTTTTCAAGTCTCTCCTTATAGCTCATACTGTAGCATCCTGGTAAACCTCTTCTGCACTCTCTCTCCAAAGCCTCCACATCCTTCCTGTAACGTAGTGACCAGAATTGAATGCAATACTTTAAGTGTGTGGCCTAATCAAAGTCTTATAAAAGCCGAAAGAATTGCAGATGTTGTAAATTAGGAACAAAAACAGAAGTTGCTGGAAAAGCTCAGCATGTCTGCCAGCATCTGATTTTTATCAGAGTTAACATTTTGGATCCGGTGACCCTTCAGAACTGATGGTAGCTAGGAAAATATTGATTTATATGCAGAAGATAGGTTGGGGGGAGGGGATAAGGAGTAAACGCTAGGTGGAGACAGCACAAAGAGAAAAGAACAGTTGGACAGACAAAGGAGTTGATAACGATCTAGCTAGGAGGGTAAATAGCTGTTGATGGAGGCTGTTCTTACTGGCTAACAATAGGTAGTGTGTAATGACAGGCTGTATGATAACAAGGCCTGATATGTGACATAAGGGACAAGGACACAGGAGAGTTCAGGCCCTAAGATTATTGAAATTGATATTGAGTCTGGAGGGCTGCAGGGTCCCCATGCCAAAAATGAGGTGGTGTTCCTCCAGCTTGCGATGAGCTTCGCTGGAACGCTGCAGCAAGCGTGAGATAGAGATGTTGGCCAGGGAACAGAGTGGTGTGTTATAGTGGCAGGCAACTGGAAGCCCAGGGTCTTTTTGAGGGCAGAATGTAGATGTTCTGCAAAGTGGTCACCCAGTTCACATTACAGAAGAAGTGTTAGAAAAAGTAAGGGCAGATAAATCTCCAGGACCTGAGCAAGTGCATCCCGGGAAGTTGTAGGCAGTTAGGGAAGAAATTGCGGGGTCACTGGTGGAAATATTTGTATCATCTGTCACCACAGGTGAGGTGCCAGGGGACTGAAGGATGGCTAATATTTTACCTTTATTTAAGAAAGGCTGTAAAGGGAATCCTGGGAACTATAGACCTGTGAGCCTGACATCGATAGCGGGTAAGTTGTTGGAGATGATTCTGAAAGATAAGATTTACATGTATTTGGAGAGGCAAGGACTAATTAGGGATCGTCACCATGGTTTTGTGCGAGGGCAATTGTGTATGACAAACTTATTTGAGCTTTTTTAAGGAAGTAACAAAAAGATTGAGGGCAGGGCGATAGAAAATTACATGGACTTTAGTAAAGCCTTCAACAAGATTCCACATGGTAGACTGATTACTGAAGTTAAATAAAATCTCACGGCACAGTGGCTCAGTAGTTAGTACTGTGCACGTTAGGCGGATTGGCCATGCTAAATTGCCCACAGTGTCTAGGAATGTGTACATGAGGTGGTTAGCCATGGGAAATGCAATGTTAGAGGGATGGGATGTACCTGAGGGGAATGGTGTGCAGGGGGTCAGTGTGGACTCAATGGGCTGAATGGACTACTTCCACACAGTAGGGATTCTATGAATAGATAACATGGGATTCAAGGATAGCTTGTCAATTGGATACAAAATTGACTTGGCAGTAGGAGACAGGGTCATGGTGGAGGATTGCTTTTCGGACTGGAGCCCTGTGACCAAGGGACCAGCCTTCCACAGGGATCGGTGCTGGGTCCACCTTTGTTTGTGCTTTATATAAACAATTTAGATGAGAATATGGGAGGCATGGTTAGTAAGTTTATGGGTAACTGTAAAAGTGATAGTATATTGGACAGTGAATACAGTCATCTAAAATTACAAAGAGATTTTTTATTCAATTGGGTCAGTGGGCTAAGGAGTGGCAAATGGAGTTTAACTTGGATAAATGCGAGCTATTGCATTTTGGTAAAATAAACAAGGGCAGGAATTATACAATTAATGGTCGGGCCCTGATTTAAGCTCTCCTTGAGTCCCATGTGATCTATTCACACCTACAGTGTGGAAGCAGTCTATTCGGCCCATTGAGTCCACATTGACCCTCTGAGAAGCATCCCATTCAGGACACCCCATCCCTCTAACCCTGCATTTCCCATGGCTAACCACTTAATTTGCACATTCCTGGACACTGGGCAATTTAGCACAGCCAGTCCACCTAACCTGCACATGTTTGGATTGTGGGAGGAAACCAGCGCACCCAAAGGAAACCCATGCAGACACGGAGAATGTGCAAACTCTACACAGAGGCTGGAATTGAGCCAGGTCACGGGCGCTGTGAGCCACTGTGCCGCCTGGCTTTATCTAAATTTACTAATCAGTCTACCATGTGGAACCTTGTCGAAGGCTTTATTAAAGTCCATGTAAATGTCTATTGCCCTGCCCTCATCAATCATTTTGCTACTTCCTCAAAAAAACTCAATCAAGTTTTTCAGACTCAATTGCCTCAGTACAAAACCATGGTGACTATAACTAATCCGTCTTTGCCTTTCCAAATGCACGTAAATCCTATCTTTCAGAATCTCCTCCAACAATTCCAAGAGACCTAGGGGTTCAGGTACATAATTCGTTGAAGCTTGCGTCACATATGGAGACAGGAATGGAGGTTTTGAGTTATAAAAATAGGCTAGGACATTTTTCACTGGAACGTAGGTGGTTGAGGGGTGACCTCATGGAGGTTTATAAAATTGTGAGAGGCATAGATAAGGTGAATAGCAAGGGTCTTTTCCCTAGAGTGGTGGAGTTCAAAATTAGAGGGCATATTTTTGAGGTGAGAGGAGAAAGTTTTAAAAAGGACACAAGGGGCAACATTTTCAGGGTGGTTTGTATGTGGAATGAACTGCCAGAGGAAGTGGTGGATGCAGGTACAGTTACAACATTAAAAAGGTATTTGGATAAGTGAATGGATAGGAAAGATTTGGAAGGATATGGGCCAAACACAGCAAAGCGGACTAGTTCAGTTTGGGAATATGGTCAGTGTGGACTAGTTAGACCGAAGGGTCTGTTTCCATGTTGTATGACTGAGTAGTGTGATCAGCAGAATGCCAAGCAAGCCTTTGAGAAACGAGGCAATTCTGATAAATGAACAGGGTGTTGCCCCCTGCCCCAATTTTTCCAGACCTTTTCTATAAATCAGTTAAATTTAATTTTAGTTGATTGTTAGTTGAGCAATAAATGATGGACTTGAAGAAAAATACTTTATCCTTACCTTTATTTAGGAGCTAGTTTTTTTTATTCTTAAGTAGCAACGATTTTTCAGCTGACATCACCAAGATTTTTTTGCTTTTCTCCATTATTTTTTTAAAAAGTACTATAATAGTTAATTTGCCTTCATTCTGATCTCAGCTATACTGTCAGGAATGCTCTTGGAAAATTAGTTTTGAGGCTAATAGTGAGTGAAATTGCCCTTTTAGACAGTGAATGTTCTTTTTTTGTTATGATACCAAGGGATGTGAGAAGTGCTAGAGAAACCTACTGTTCTTTGAGTTCAGTAATTATGGGCAAGCTTGGAATTTAGGAAACAGTGAAGGTTGTTGAGAAAGTCAGTGCTCCACAGCCATTTTGATGTGGTCACCAAGATGGCTGTGGAGTAGGTGAACTGAGCCCAGGCATGTCATTCCCATTGGCGTTCTTTCTCTTCCTATTCTACTTTTATCTTTGGCACTTTTCTTTTTCTTCATTTTCTTTTGTTTTGAGTCTGGAGAGTGGCGGCTGAGGGAGGAGGCCTCTGGCGGCAGCAGCAACTTGGGACAAACAGGGCATGGCTTCACCCCAGCCAAGGGTCTCCCGGCAAGCCAGGAGCTAGTCCCGTGCTGACTCCACCGGCCCAGACTCGCAGGCTAGGCTGAAGCTCTGGGTGGCTGAGCCCGGGTGCCTGAAGGAGGAGACACAGCGTGGCAGTTTGCTGGTATGGCAGTCTTGTTCCAGTGTAGGGCTCTCTTCCTCATATGGAGCCCATCTTCGTCTTCGCCCTCTAGGTGTTCCAGCAGCCTAGCAGGTGGTCTCGCCCAAGAGTGGCAGTCTCGGCCCGCTATGTGATCTTCAGCCAAGGTGAGCGGCCCAGTGTTCCAGGGGCCTAGCATGGTGGTCTTGACCCGGAATGGTGGTCTCATCCCCAAGTGGTGGTCTCGTTCCAGCTGCATGTTCCAAGTATTCCATCCTTCCTTAAATGGCTTTCTTCGAAACCTGGAGCTGTTAACTGAACTATGATGAACTTCGTCTTAATTTTACATTTTTTACTTATGTGTGACTTCTGCCATCAACATGGGCGCCGTGATGAGGCGACTTATAAAACTTGTCACTGTATTTTCATGTAAAAGTACACGTCAATATATTTCTATTCTATTCTATCTCGGAGAAGCTGGCTTTCAGCAGTGAGGAACAAAGAGTAGTTCGTCACTGTATCAGGCCCTCTGGGAGGGCCTGAGACTACAGTAATACATGATGTTTTTCTCAACTAAAAGCTTTTTGCTTCTGCAAACCCCATTTATCTCTACCTCCTGCCTATTCATAGATCTGTGATGAATTTGGATGGAGATGAATAAGTTCCACATGAAAGAAATGGTGAAACCAAAAACATGTGATTGATGAGGAAGACCAAGAGTAGATCCGTACAAAATTGGCAGTTGACGGTCAGTCAAGCATTTTGTCACTGATTTGAAAAAACAGATCTTGATTGCTTCCTCAAAATACATGGAAGAGAGCAAGATATTGTAAATCAGAAACAAAAACAGAAATTGCCAGAAAGCTTCAGCAGGCTGGGCAGCATCTGTGGAGAGAAATCAGAATTAACATTTTGGGTTCAGTGACCCTTCCTCAGAACCTGAAACGTTAACTTTGATTTCTGTCCACAGATACTGCTGAGCCTTTCCAGCAATTTCTGTTTTTGTTTTTAATTTCCAGTATCCACAATTCTTTTGGTTTTTATTTATATTGTAATTCAGACATTGCAGCACAAGAAGATTGAGTGTTATCATTGAATCATAAAATCCCTACAATGTGGAAGTGGGCCATTCAGCCCATTGAGTCCACGCGCCCCTCCGAAGAGCATCCACTCCCTAGCCTATCCATGTGTCCCTGCATTTACCATGGCTGATCTGCTTAGCCTGCATGCACCTGGTCACTATGGGCAATTTTGCATGGCTAATCACCTAACCCCCACGTCTTTGAACTGAGGATACTGGAGCACCCGGAAGAAACCTGCGTACGGAAGATGTGTGATCTGAAAGGTGAATCTGGAATGGAATAATCAGAAGGTTTTATATGAATCATTGAGTGTGGTTGGTCCTTTTAATGTAAGGTTAGAGGGGACAGCACTATGCAAAATCCTGGTATTAAGAGAAACTTGTTAGCTTGCAGTGCAAGTGATTGGAAAAGAAACACACTGATCACAAGTGTGGTTTTGATTACAAAATTATACTGTCATGTTTAATGCAAAAATGCTGAACTAAGTAATAGATACTATGTTACTATACACAAATTCTACTGTTTTCATTTACTCTATTCTTCTATTTTAAATTACAGGGTTACTTTGGAGCAGTAGGTGCCCTGCTTGGACTTCTCAATTCCACTTAAAAGTCAAGGCACTCAACATCCTGGTGATATCTGAAGAAATGCACATGTCGACATGATGGTTTAAAATAGAAAGATTCACCCAGGGTAACAAAACCTTGTGAAAATATTGAGTCACACTACAGGCTGACTGTATTACTGAAGTATTCTTTCTACTTGAAAAGTTTAAAAAAAGTACAGATTTTTAAAAATTGAGTCCAATGTATTAGGCATTAAGCCACTGCATACCTTCTCAGTACATCGCTGCTGCAAATGGCCATGTCCATGAGGGTTGTTCGATTTTGTTAATCTAATCTTTATTTAACCTTTATCCTATTCAAATGGTATCCAAAATATCTCGAATTGTACGTATGAAAATCTTGCTTGGACATCCGAAACCTCTGGCTAATTATTTGCAGAAAGATAAGCGTAGTGTTTCACGGATGCAATAAATAAATTGTGTGCAACAGAATCTGGGAGTAAGGTATCTGCCTTGTGGGGAGTAGTTTTGACTGACTCAAGGATCCTTACTTAGTAATACAGATTTGTTTTAAACACACTTTATTTAGAGAATCACTGCAGATAAAATGCATACAATTGAGCAAAATGGGCCATTTTCAGGCAAAAAAAATGCAGCAAAAATGTGACCCCTTCTGTCTAGGAAGGCCAAGGTACGTGTTTATGTACATACCAAAAGTGGCTTTTATTTATTTTTTAAAGCACTTGTTAGTTTTATTCAGGAAATGTTTGTATTTTGTATGGGAGAGGTAGAATTCTACCGACTTCTGAAATCACTGGAAATATTTCATTCTCTAGAATGCCTTAAGCCCACACCAAGAACATGTGCATACTATAGTGCATCCTAACAAAGAAATGGGACAAACTAAATTTGCACATCACTTGGGCTTATCCTCATATCGGAATTATACTTTTTGAAGGTAATAGGGGCATATTTCATTGTTGGGTAAATTATATCTGACCAAATGGTCTCCTAAAACATTGGCACAGAGTTTGTGAGTGCTCATTGTATATGGGATTGGATCACCTCTTGACGTTCCTTAATCGTGTCTATTTTAATATATGTTTGAAATTTACAACAGAGTATTAATTTAATGTTGGATTTTTTTTGAAAGGTGCAATAGTCTATGACTAGTACCTTCTATATTAATGTGCAGCGATTTCAAACTAAGTGACTAATGATTGCAAGATACGGTAATGTTGGTAATAACCAACTGATTCATAGAAAATGATGCAGGCAGTATTAAATATCACTTGATTCTGTTTCCTTCTGCTAATCGGCTACTATTGTCAGTCCATCACTTGTGCAGTGGTTATGTGTCAAATGTCCAATATAGCTTTCACCACCTTATGTGAAACATGCTCCTAATCTAAGTTAAAATAACACAGACAACTAATTTAATAAAGTCGCTATAAATTTTATTTTATGTGGATGTGTCACACAGCCTCTGTTTTCAGTGTCTTTGATTGAAACTCTCTTTGCAGTCACTATGTTCTCTGTGCAGTGGACCCTCCTCTTTCTTTGGTAACAAGATCCCAGTAATTATGTAATTTGGCCAAACTGTTGCCGCCCTCCAAATTTTGGTGTTGCATATACAGTACTGTAGAATCCATAATATGGAATCAAAAATGACTACAATGCAAATAACAAAATAAATATAAGTAGGCAGTGAACAGCGGCCTGGATAAATATGAAGCAATACTTTGTCCGTCATAACTTGCATGTGATGCCCCGTAAGAAAAACTGAGGAGAGTGATTTTTTTTTTGTTAATTAATTCATTAGTGAATTATGAGGGTACAGATAAAGCCAACATTAATTGCATATCCCTGTTTTCTTAGTGCAATTGTCGTTTTCTGAGCCGTTTAAGAGTCAGCCACATTGGTGACGCGAAGAAGTAATCTTTCGACCAAATTGGACAAGGCTGGCATCTTCCCTTCTCTAAAGGAACCAGTTAGATTTTTAGAACAATCTAATCTTGTTACCTTTTTTCATAGGTTTTCTTAAAAAAAAAGCGCAAGTCTCTTTTGAAACATTAACAGAAATTGCTGGAAAAGCTCAACAGGTCTGGCAGCATCTATAGAGAGAAATCAGAGTTAACATTTGGGATCCTAGACCTGCTGATCTTTTCCAGCAATTTCTGTTTTTGTTTCTGATTTCAAGCATCTGTAGTTCTCTGGCCAAATCTCTTTGATACTGAGTTTTAATTCCCAATGCACCAGTACCAATGACCAATCGCATTAATCTCCAGATTATTAATCTGGCTCTTGGTATTACCAGTCCAGTCATCTGGAGTGGCAAGGGCACAAATAATGGAAACTCCCCTATGCCTTTTGCCCATTACAATTGATACTTTTCGATTTGGTTACCATGACTCATTGAATGTAAATAATGTATTGGGCACATTTTAAACTCAAATCTTCAGGAGTACCTTCTAGGGACAGGGAGCATGGCATTTGTTTTGAGACTTGTTTGGCATTTATTTTTGTGGCTGTAGCTTATTGTAATCCAGTTATATAGTAAGATGATAGACTCGTAAAATGTCACAGCAACCCACTGGATTCTGTAGGAAGCTTCAGCAGCTAACCATGTTGATATTGGATAATGCTAATTGTTTAATTTTAGTCATGAAAATGTTTATTCTTTTTGGTTTGTTTTTCATACTTCTTACAATTAAAGGAAAGCACACCCCTGTTTAAAGTGAGAAAAAGTATGGAGAGTGAAAGCAAATTGATGCAGAAATCAAGAAAATCAACAATAGGCAACTTTAAAATATACTTTATAGGAATATTAAATAAACTCCAATGCTGTACTGAGTTCTTTGACTTTCATGTGAGTGACAACAACTGAAACATACATGCCATAAACTTGCATAGTGCAGAGAAAGGCCATTTGTTCAATAGTACCTCTGCTGCCTCTTCAAAAGAGTTATCCAATCAGTTTCATTTATTGTCCTTTCACCGCAGCCATGACTTTTTCTCATAATGTATCCAACTAGCATCTTTTAGTAAGTTATTATTAAATTTATTTCCAGCACTACTGAGCTACAAGTACAGGGTAAAAACATTGTTTTTGAAAGTGTAGGCTTGCCCCCTCTGCCATACTAATTTTGTAGCACAGCTTTGGCTAAAAATCAAGCTAAGGGAATCCAAAAAACTGGAAGTTTGTGGTGCTTGTGGTGTTAAGCCACATAAAGAGGGCCTCAAATTGTTCTTCTCCTTGTCATGAGAGGGCATATATGCAAAATGCAATGTACAAAGTGTTTATTAATAAATCCAAATTCCATTATGGTATTACAAAAGCAAAATACTACAGATGCTAGGAATCAGAAGTATAAAGAGAAAATGCGGAAAAATATTTAGGTCAGACAATATCTGTGAGGAGAAAATGTTAATATTTCAAGCTGTTATGATGTTTTCATTCAGTCACCACGGTAAGCAACTCACTACCAGTTGGCACCATTGCTTCTATTCCAAACAAAATATTTTGAGATGGATACCAACACTCTTAAGAATGTAAAGTGTAGGGCTCTTGTGGTGCAGGTGTAGTGTCCTTAACTCTGAGCTTCTAGGCCTGGGTTCAAATTCCAACTACTCCTGAAGTTGTCATCATTTCTGATTTTGTTTGTTTGGTTGGTTGGTTGGTTGGTTGGTTGGTTGGTTGATTAAAAAATCTATAAATTGTAATATGCACGTAAAGGAAGACGGTGTCAATAAAGCTAAATCCCCGCATAGAGTTTGTACAATCGAGCTTCATCTCCAGAGCATACGTTATAGCAGGGAACAATCTTTCCAGGCACCCCATTTGGCAGCAGTAGTATTTGTAAAACACGGTATAATAAACATCCCAGTAGAATAATTAGACTAAAGATTACTCTAAAGCAAAGATTACCAATTGTGTGATCAAACAAATCTGAAACTACATTATTGTAGGAAAAGAAGGGTATAGCCTTAGTTTCGGGGAGAGTTTACCAGATTTTACGGCATAAACAGCTAAAGGCATGTCCCCCAATGGTCAGTTACAGCAAACTGGGAGCACATCAAAACAGTGAGAGAAATGCTGAATTTTCAGAATTTCAACACTAGAGAATGTAATGAATAAATGGAGGAGAAAGGCCATGGGGATATTTAAACTTAAGAATTGAATTTTAAATTCAAAAGACAGGGACTTGGTGGAGGTCCAAAGATGCAGAACTTGTATGGAAATGGAATTTGGTGCAGGTTCCAGTATAACCAACAGCATTTTGGACAAGGTAAGTTGATAAAGAATGGAAATTGAGAGCCCAGCCTAAAGAGCATTGGAATATTTGAGTCTGTACTAAAACACATCTAGGGATTTCAGCAATAGGTGGATGAGGCGGAGTAAGTGAGTGATATTTGAAAACCTGAGGCAGTGGCAAGAAGAGGGATGGAATTGGTGATGAGAAAGCTAAATTTGTGGAAGAGCTGAATACAATCACCATGGTGTTCCCAATCGAATCAATACAGCACGTAAACAGACCCTTCGATCCAACTCGCCTGCACCAATCAGATATCCCAATCTGACGTCGTCCCATTTGCCAGTATTTGGCCCATATCCCTCTAAACTCTCCCTATTCATATACCCATCCAGATGCTTTTTAAATTTTGCAATTCTACCCACCACCACTTCCGCTGGCAGCTTGTTTCATACATGAAAGTTACCCCTCAGGTCCTTTTTAAATCATTCCATTCTCACCTTAAATTTATGCCTTCTAGTTTTGGACTCCACCACCCTAGGAAAAAGACATTGGCCAATCATCCTATCTATACCACTCATGACTTTGTAAACCTCTATAAAGTCACCCCTCAGCCGCTGACACTCCAGGGCAGAAAGTGTCAGCCTATTGAGCCTGTCTCTATAACTCAAATGTCCTTAAATCTTTTCTGCACTCCCTCAAGTTTAACAATATCCTTCCTATAGAAGGACGACTAGAATTGTACGTAGTACTCTAAAAGTGGCCTCCCCTATGTCCTGTACAGCTGCAACATGATGACCCAACTCATATACTCAATGTTTTAGTCAATGAAGGCAAGTGTGCCAAAAGCCACCTTCACCACCTTGTCTCCCTGCGATTGAAACAAATACAGCACAACAAATGCAACTCATCCTTTCATGCCACTTGCAATTTATATTTCTTTATGTATCATATACATTACCTCCCTCCCAGCCCAATAAGTCTTCGTGCTTCAATCAATGCTAATTTAAATTACCCTAATTTTGGATTTGGATATTACTTCTTGTGTCTATATTTTAAATTGGTGGATGTCTCCTTGGCTCCTCAAATCCCTATCTCAACCATTCTAACCTTTGAATTAACTGGCCTGTCTTACGATTAGCTACTATTCAAATGAGCACTTTTTCAACTATCTACTTCATTTTAAAAGTTAGAAGTTTTAAAACTTTTTAGAAGTAAAGTTCTTAAAGGTAATTTTAAAAGTTAGAAGAAAAGTCAAAGATCATAGAAACAAGATTAGTAGGGGAGTTAAAAAGTATACTTTATTAGGCAAAAATAGAGAGATCTCAAAACTATACAACTATTATAAATTTAAATTTCAGATCTGCCTTTGAGGTCTTTTTTTAATAAAAGGCATGTGAATCATACAACATACAGATTTCTTTATTTCAAAAAATGTTTTAAAAATTCTCAAATTTGAATGGCATATATTTTAGACCTCTTTGAAGCAGTTTTTGGTCATTTTAAATGACTGACATACTGTAGATCATGGTGTATAAGTCAATCATTGAAGTTTCATAAAGTTGCTCCAATAAATGAGGTAACTTAGACTCAGTACAAAATGTGAGCCCTTGCCGTTGTAAGTGGCTGTCATTTTGTAACTTTGGTCACTATGTGAAGATTACTCTGTGTGGGCATGTCTTAAACTCCCATGTATCTTCTTGGCAACATAGTCTGCATCGCCCTTTTGGTCCCAGCAGCAACATACAAGCTGAGTACAACCCTAAATATTTCTGAGATGCAGAGACCAGGCTGTCTTCAAATGGGAGTTTAGCCATAAACATGTATTAATTGGCTGAAAAATGGGGAGGTCAACTTCATACACCTAAGCACACACCTTGGCATCCAGAAACAAGGGTACAGAAACTAGCCACAGTGATGTTACCCTACTGTGAATGCAATGTCTGAAGGAAATACAGTAAATACAGCAGCCTGGATATATTTTATAAGGAATAGTACTCAATATTAAGTATCTTATTCACATGGATATGTAATCGGTAATGAACAATGTTTTGAAACATTTTCTACCAAAAGAAACAACAAAGTTAGTGTTTGAACCTATATAACACATTTTATAACAGATGAAAATAAGACCTAGATTTTATTTTGGAGAACAGTAAGAGTGGTAAACCTGACACAGTGCCTACATAACATGACACACTTGAAGTGTGTT